AGCAAGAAGCCGGAAGAGAGTTCCACAAGTGAGAAGTGTGATAGAAGAAACTGCTAACATAGAACTTACAGTAACATCTATCTATTTCAACAGTAGAATGATAAGACCTTGCAGCCAATCTAGTACTGTACTTAAATGCATAAAGTCCAGGTACCAAAGAGGAAAGCTCATAAAAATATTTATAAGAAAGGCACAGGGAAGCTATATTATGGCAGTGGGAAAGTGGCTGAAACCGAGATGCCAGGTCAAGACCAATAAAATTGCAGATTCTGCTATGGAATTTTATCAAGAATATATAGTAGGAGCATCAGACCAGATGTGGCAACAATATTCAATGCATGGACAAATAATAGACTTATAAATATGTAAGATAGATTCTAGAAAGAAAAATTGACTAGCACAACAGTGAACCAAATTCCTCGCAGCAAACCTAGCAATTGATTCAATATAATCTTTCCACTTCATGTAGGGAAAAAACATTAATCCAAGAATTCATAATGAGTCACTTTCCTATAGTATTAATTTACTAATAGAATGCTTTATCATCTGATCACCATAATACTGTTAAACCAGTAGACGTCTATATTTCTGAGATGAGGTATTGTCACTATTTACACTATTTATATTGTTCAGACTGTTGTCTTCATCTTTATTGTCATATTCACAATGTTTCAGATGTTGTAAGCTCTGGCCTTCTTCAGATAATATATGTTGGAAGTTCGAACTTTATTCCAGCTGGAATGTTCTTGTTCCACATGACATACCTTTTCTGGATATCTCAGTTTTCAGTTATTTCCCATTAGTAACTGAACTCTCCAAGTTTTGTTCACATTTGCTGTGGCCAAGTACACAACTTCAACCAACACTTTTACCCATAGTGGATAAAAGCATTGGCTGAAGTAATCCAGTGACTTGACCCAAAGTGTTGTGAGTTCAATACCTGGTCACAGCAGACATGAACAAAGCCTTGGAGAGTTGAGTTACTAAAGGGAAATAACTGAAACTGAGATATCCAGAAAAGGCCTGACATGTGGAACTGGAACAATCTACTCTAGTGAATGAAATAAAGTGTTCGGTTCAAAATTCCAATCACCTGAAGAAAGCCAGTGCATACAATAGCTGAAACACTGTGAATCTATATAATACTAAAAGTCTGTGATTGCGCACATGCTTGTGTCTATTCTGTGCATAATGATTCAAGTTAATCTAGGTGAATAAGATTTTAAAATATGAGTTGTTTATGCAGTAAGTATTTTTATTTTAACTTTCTTCAAACAGATAATTTTTTTAATTAAGATATTTTTAAGTAAAAGACACTCACAAAAAGATTCTGATTTGCTGTTTTGTTCAGTTGTTTGTAGAGTAATTATTTATATTTCAGCTTTCTTTTAACAAACAATATTTTAAATATTTAAAAAATATTTTTAAGTTAATCTAATTTAAAAGTTAAAGTTTATCCCGGAAGTTCTATTTCTATTAAATGCTGTAAACAATCAATAAAAAGTTAAACATGAACTTGTAAACCAGTGAATGATGACATGAATTAATTGAAATATGTAACTGAAGCATAATAAAATTAACTTTCATTTCAATGGTATGTTAAAATCAACTTCAATGTTTTATAACCTGAACCGTAAGTGACCCAATGGATCATGAGTAGTCTAGTATGACAATAAAGATGAGGACAACAGTCCAAACAACGTAAATAGTGTAAATAAACTAGTAGAATAATTCACTTCAATTTTAGAGCATGTAGAATTACTTAAAACATTACATCTTGTACAGCACTGCACCATGCTCTTAGGGACAAAAAGAATTGAATCACATCACCCTTCATTTACATATATCTGTGAATAATCTGAAACATTTTTATATCCAGGCAAAGATGGATGGCTGTTTAAGTTCTTTCAGCTGTTAATCTTACTATTTTTTTCATGCTACACCTCTTCAGGATATAAGTGATCGTGGCTCTCCACAGCTTCCTTGTCTTTATTATCTGTGAACTGCCACTTGCAGACTACTTTTCTAGTTTTCTCCATAGTTTTGAATTCAGAATAATCCTTGACCAGTTGCTATCCAAGAAAGCCATTCTACTCTGCTCTTTAACTCCTAGCTTGAGGACAAAAGAGATTTATTGGTGTCTTTCTCAAGAATATTAAAGCAAAAGTGAACATTACCATTATATGTGTGTAAGGCAAATATTTACCAGCTGAAAAGACTGATATTCCAAAATCAATTACAAAGTCTGTATACAGAATAAAGCGGTTCATATGAGCAACTTTGTACTAGCCATTTGCTGTTTGTTGAACTGACACTTCTGAAGTCATGATACTTACCTGGAAATGTCTCTGGAGAATATATCAATATGGGGTCAAATATCAGGGTTCAACAAATTAAGAAAGCGAATGAAGCATTGATTTTTTTTCTATAAACTCAGCAAAGTGCATATTTTTAGCTTATGTAGATATACTCATCAATGATATAAGTTTATGTTTACAGCTACATCTCATTGAAATATATGATCACCAAAGTTAAGCAATGTTGAGTCTGGTCAATACCTAGATGGGTGACCATTTGGGAATACAAGGTGCTGTAAGTTTGGATGTGTAAGTGGTGTAATGGACAATGGTTCACAATTGTTAATCAGAGTTCCAAGTTCCAATTCTTGTTGGGTTCGTTATATTGACTTATGCACAAATACCCCTTTTCAGCTTATATATATATATATATATATATATATATATACTAATAAAATCTAATAAATAAAATTTTCATGTGTAATTATACTTTTAGTAAATTATCTCTATGGTGTGTAATTTTGCCTTACCTTGTGTGTATATTTATCTATCTATCTATCTATCTATCTATCTATCTATATATATATATATATATATATATATATATATATATATATATACACACACACACACACACAAGGTAAGGCAAAAATTACACACCATAGAGATAATTTATTAAAGTATAATTACACATGAAAATTTTATTTATTAGTTATTTAATTGTTATATGTGCAATGCAAAATATCATCCATCTTTTTCAAAACATATTTCAATTCCATGCCTGCCTGATTCTTTAACACATCAAAGAGTTTCCTGTCATTTTACAGCATTCATATTTAATTCTTTCTTTAAGTTCCTCAATATTTCATAGGTGTGTCTGATAAAAAACTGATTTCAAATGGCCCCACAGGAAAAAAAAATCCAAGGGTGTGAGTACAGGTGTCCTCAGTGACCACTCAACAGAACCTCTTCGACCTATCCATTAACCCCTATGGTGTGCGACTTTTGCCTCACCCTATATATATATATATATATATATAATAAAAAGGCTTCTGGATTCTATCCTCTTGGAATTATTTTTATACATATATATATGTATGTATGTATATATATATATATATTTATATAGTTTAGATATATGATTGCATATGTATGTGTATATTAACCATTAATATTATCTATCTATCTATCTATCTATATATATATATATATATATATATATATATATATATATATATATATTATAAACTGTTACATTAGAACATGCAAGTTAATACTACAAAATTGCATATTTTGTTTCAACGTTTGACATGTTTCATCAGGTAGTGAACAATGTTGGTAATTACCATCATTATTAACTACCTGATGAGACATATTAAATGTCAAAACTAAATATGCAATTTTGTAGTAGTAACTTGCATGTTCTAATGTAACAGTTTATAATAAATATTTGTTGCTCTACTCTTGTATTGAGCCCTTTTTTAAATTAATGTTATGAATGTTTGAATTTTATCTTTTCATCCTTTTACATTTGGAGATATATATATACACCTACACACCCACGCCCCAATGATATAAGTTTATCTGTGTGTATATTTTCAATGTCTTGTTATAAATACTTGTATTATAGTCTGTTTATATAACCCCTCTCGCACATTACGCACAAATATGATTTCATGGTGTCATCTCTGGTCTCAAATTTATTATTGAGAACAATTTCAGAGTTTAGGACATCTATCGTCATCATTCTTATTTTATGTTTGGTCAGATTTTGAGAAATCACCCAGACTGAAAATTTTTCATCATTGGTGTCTAGTAATTATTATTATTAGTCACTGATTAATAACTAATCTCTTCTAGTACCTTTCTTAATATTCTTACCACTCCCAATATGATTTCCTTTTGCAAACCTCCAATTCAATCAGTTGTACCATTAGTATTTTAGGGATTAATTTATTTGATGGGTACAACTCTCACCCTCATATTCCAGAGCTTCTTTAGATCCCAGGTGAGGTCCTGGTACTTTTATATTTTTTGTTTATTATTATTCTTATTTGTATTTATACATTTTTTTTATTGCTACTATGTTTTAATTTTAATGATTTAAGCAGTTTTATTTTCATGGCTATTTTGTTTATTATTTTTATGGCTTCTGCAGTAAATCAGAGTTTATTTTAATGGCTGCTCTGGTTTTATTTCCATGGCTTCTTTGTTTTTAATGGTTGTTGTATTTGACTTTAATGGTTACAGTGTTTTTAATGACACTTTTATTTAATGATGCACCTATTTTCATTTTAATAGTTAAAAATATACTGACAAAGATGTAGATGAAGAGAATAAAAGTGATGACATGTAGATGAAGAAGCAATTCAAAGCGACAGATGTAGAAGAGACATCATGGCAGATAATGATGCAAAAGAAATTCAAAGTGATAGATGTCAATGAAGAAGCGACTCAAAGATGATAATGAAGAAGAGACTTAAACTGACAGATGTAGAAGAGACTCCAAGTGACAGATGGTGGTGAAGAAGAGACTTAAATTGACAGATGATGATACAAAAGAGACTCCAAATGACAGATGTAGTTGAAGAAGAGACTTAAATTGACAGATGTAGAAGAGACTTAAATTGACAGATGTAGAAGAGACTTAAATTAAGAGATGTAGAAGAGACTCCAAGTGAGAGATGCTGATGGATAAGAGACTTAAAGTGACAGATGATGATGTAAAAGAGACTCTGAGTAACAGATGCTGATGAAGAAGAGAGTCCAAGTGACATATGATGATAAAAAAGAGACTCCAAGTGACAGATGTAGATACAAAAGAGACTCCAAATGACAGATGTAGTTGAAGAAGAGACTTAAATTGACAGATGTAGAAGAGACTTAAATTGACAGATGTAGAAGAGACAAATTAAGAGATGTAGAAGAGACTCCAAGTGAGAGATGCTGATGGATAAGAGACTTAAAGTGACAGATGATGATGTAAAGAGACTCTGAGTAACAGATGCTGATGAAGAAAGAGAGTCCAAGTGACATATGATGATAAAAAGAGACTCAAGTGACAGATGTAGATACAAAAAGAGACTCAAGTGACAGATGTAGTTGAAGAAGAGACTTAAATTGACAGATGTAGAAGAGACTCCAAGTGAGAGATGCTGATGGATAAAAGACTTAAAGTGACAGATGATGATGCAAAAGAGACTCCGAGTAACAGATGCTGATGAAGAAGAGAGTCCAAGTGACATATGATGATAAAAAAGAGACTCCAAGTGACAGATGTAGATACAAAAGAGACTCCAAGTGACAGATGTAGTTGAAGAAGAGACTTAAATTGACAGATGTAGAAGAGACTCCAAGTGAGAGATGCTGATGGATAAAAGACTTAAAGTGACAGATGATGATGCAAAAGAGACTCCGAGTAACAGATGCTGATGAAAAAGAGACTTAAACTAACAGATGCTGATGAAGAAGAGACTCCAAGTGGCAGATGTAGTTGAAGCAATTCAAAGTGACAGATTTATATATTTTTATTTTGTTATTGGTAATTCATTCAATGTTTTATTGCATATACAGTTTTAATATTAGTTTTGTTTCTAATATTTTATTTACAATCAACCCACCAGTATGTCATCTTATCCTTTACTTTTCATACTATAGATTTAAAGATTTTTCTTCACTTGCTATTTTTACCATAACTTCATCTTAACACTATATTCAATAACCTCTTGTTCTTACACTAGGATGTACATTGGATATTGCCTTTCCAAAAATCATTAACTAGATATCTATTTATGGTTACTTATAATATTTTCCACTGTATGACCAACTACTGATATGTTCCACACAAATACAATATGCTTTTTATTATATTTACTAAAATTATTTCAAATGAACTATAGTTGCACATGATTGTACAATATTTTAATATAATCTTTTTTATTAATTTTGATATTCATTGACACTTGTTGAATGTTTAAGGAAACCAAACAGTGGATTCAAACACAAGTAGTTTTGTGATGTATTTCAGTAGTGGTGATGTTAATATATATTTATGAGGCTATTGTTTATCATTGACAAAAATACATAGCCAATGGTGACTTGTCTGTGGAAAAATAATGTTTTATAGCTGGATACCTACACTATTCAATAGTGTTCCCTGTATTTATTATAGTTTCCATGGAAAGAAATAGGAGGCACAACTAAGAGAAAAAAATGAATAGCCAGTGGTGGTGACTATGGAAAAAAAAGTGTCTTATAGTGGAAAACTTGTTCTGTCCAACAGTGTTATAGTGTTCTCTCTATTTTTTAATCATTTCATCCCAACCAAGGCAATAAAGCCACTAAGACACAAGGTGTTACTGAGTGTGAAAGAACAGGAAAAAGTAAAACATTATTAAGTAGTGAGAAAAATAAAAGAAGAGGAATCAAGAAGACAGCAGATAATGATTGACATTGCATTTAAATTTTTGAACATCAAATTTGACTGGAAAGCAAGAAGCAGGAAGAGAGTTCCACTTTCAGAATGTCCCTTCTTTTCTTCCACATTAATTTCAGCATCTTTTTATCAGAACTAATCAAACTTTAGTCTTTAGTAAACAGTCAGGATCAGAAATAATTTATAAAACCAAGGTGGGTTGTCAATTGACTCCTGAGGTGGCTTTGAAGTCCTGCATTTTACAAGTATATTTGGCCACACATATGGCAAACAAATTAATGAACGGCTGGCTCTACATCCTCTCCTTTGTGGGTTACTCTTTTGCTCTTTGCCCAACTTATTGACTTTGCATTTTTATATATACACACATATATATAAAAGTGGCAATTGAAGTCAACACCCAGAGGTGACAGTCTATTTCATGCTAAACACAATTGTTGTGATTAGCATGAAACAGACTGTCACCTCAGGGTGTTAACTTCAATGTCCACTTTTATATTTATAGGGTGAAGTAGATAAATTGTCATCTGAATTATGCAAAAATGAAAATAACACTGACATCTCATTTTAACAAATATATTGACCAGAATTACACAAAAATGTATTAAAGTGTAAATTTATTCAATAAAATTGCAATTGGATTCAACAATGGCCACTAGATGACTTTGGAATCTCCTGCAACTCTTCTGGATGGTCTCCTTGATTAAGTTGGTGAATGCTGCAATAATCCTTGCCTTCAATTTATCTTTGGTGTTACAAGGATTTTTGTTGGTCACTCACCCAACTGCGCCCCACACATAATAATCAAGGGGTGCAGTCTGGGGAGTTAGGTGGCCAGATGTAAGGGGTAATGTGGTCGCAGACATTTTCTAACAGCCAAAACTGGGTTCTTCTGCTTGTGAGGCACAAAATTAAAAACCTTTACATATTCTCTATCCCTTATATTGAACACTTTAGCTGAAACTGCTATCGACAAAGCAGTATTGTTCCACTCCATCAACTTTTTTTTTATGTATATTTTTCTTCTCAAACAAATGGAAAAAAGAAGTGACGTTTCACATATGGCTTGCCTACAAGCAGGATTTTTCATAACCATTTTTGATTCTCACCCATTAAAGTGCAGTTGAAATGCACTGAAACCAAGTTGCATCATTGTAGTGAGTAAAATGGTTTTGTCTATATGATAAAATTATAATAAATAATTATCACTCTACAATCAGTATCAAGCCCTCTTTTGGATTAATGCTGTGAATGTTAGAATTTATATATTACATTCATTCTCATCGCATCATATATATATATCTATCTATCTATCTATATATATATATATATATATATATATATATATATATATAATAAGACTGAGACTTTAATTATCCATTTCATTTATAATTTTTATTTCATGAACACCGAGATGTTCATCTCATCAGAACAAAATCCTGCTCTGCAAATGGAGAAAGTACACTGAACGGACACTTTAGATAGTAGGGAGGGAAAGGTGAGAGAGAGAGAGGGGGTTGGGTAAAGATGTGGCTGAGCGATTAGTGGTTAGTAGTAGTCAGTTTCCTCAACCAAGAATTTACTCTACACTTTTAAGATTTTAGTATTGGTTCATATGTTAATTTGGCCGATACTGTTGTTATTTTGTGCAGGATAAATCAGGATGGATCTTAATCTAAATAAAATTAAAATTATATATACATATATATATATATATATACATAATAATTACATATATATATATATAGATAGATAGATAGATATAGTAGGCTGATGAAAAAAATTCAACAACAAATTAATAATACTGATAATAAGACTAATAATATTTATTGTATATTAGTAAACTTTTTGACCAAATAGAAACATAACAAGAAAAGATGTTAAAAATCAGAATTGGTGGACATGCCTCTGTCCTTTTTCAACAAGAAATAAAAAATATGGTGGCTATTGTTGCATGTATTACATTACTGATGAAATCTATTAGTTTTGGGCTGGTTGTTTGCCATGATTCAGATTATAAGGAGCATATATATATATATAAAAACAGAAGTTACATGATTTTTTTATTTACGTTTTCAAATTTTCCAATGATCTTTGGTTTTCTGGTTGGTACTGAAACTTTTGAATCTAAGTACTTTCAGTTGATACTAGCCATTTCCAAAGACATTTGGTGCTTGTTGCGTTATCAAAACAATAAATAAAATGAATTCCCCCCCCCCCAAATAAAGACAGTCATTATTTTGAATCATAAATTTCAAGTAATAAGTATGTAATGTTCTAAAGAGTATTCTGTTGACACTGTAGGGAATATTAGCTGAACAAGTTTCGCCTATCACCCATTTCACACATGAACAGGAGTATCCCTTGTTTTCTGTTTAGGATTGATTTTCCGATTCCTTCTAAAGTCTACTTCAACTCTATACTCCTAACAGTTGACCTTACTTGCGCTAATACAACTCTACACAGTAACCCTCTACTTGGAGTGGCTCGGTGAACATTAGTAAAAATTAAGAAAAAGTAAATGCTAGTTTAATTTTTGTAAATACCGAATTTCATGCATTCACATGGGAGTTTGTAGCTTCTACATTTTTTATACTAAATATATTTTAGAAGAAAAAACCAGAAGACAAATTGTCACAAATTTCTTTGAAAGTGGCTAATGCTAATCAAGAATTACTTAGACATAGAAAAACCAAAAAATTAGAAATATTCAAAAAGTAAATAAAAGTATAATCAACAATGAACTTTCAACTTTCAAACGAAAATAAATAAGATATAGCTGTCAAAACAATATATATATATATATATATATATATAAATATAGATATATATATATATATATATATATATATATATATATATATATATATATATATGTATATATATATATATATATATATATATATATATATATATATATATATATATATATATATATATATATATATATATATATATATATATATATATATATATATATATATATATATATATATATATATATATATATATATATATATATATATATATATATATATATATATATATATATATATATATATGTATATATATATATATATATATATATATATATATATATATGTATATATATATATATATATATATATATATTTATATATATATATATATATATATATATATATATATATATATATATATATATATGTATGTGTGTGTCATTTGCAGACAGTACTGTTTCACTGTATCACAGCTCTTCAGTGCAACTAGATAACTGATTAAAGCCTGAACTGTCGAATTGAACCCTTTATTTCACTCACTGGGGTAGACTGTTCTAGTTCCACATGCCATGTCTAATGGATATCAGTTATCACCTTGCCATATGCCCTTGAGGACACAGTCACCATGGATAAAGGCGTTAGTTAGATCCAGTGACAGGACCCAAAGAGTGTGAGTTTAATACCTGGTTAAGGCAGTGGAGAACTTGGAGAGAGAAATTAACAGGAGATAACTGATAACTGACATCCATTAGACATGGTACGTGGAACTAGAACAGTCTACCCCAGCGAGTGAAATAAAGAGTTCAGTTGAACATTCCAATCACCTGAAGAAGGCCGGAACATACAACAGCTGAAACATTGGGATAAATATGGCAACAAAGATGAAGACAATAGTCCGAATAATGTAAATAGTGTAAGAAAAAGAAATGTAATTTGGTTCTTCCACACCTTTAATCTGCAGGTAAAAACAAAGATAGAAAAATATTTTCTGGTTTAATAAAGAAACCCTCTGAATTGTTCAGAATTTGTAACAGCAACACTGTGAAATTGA